TTTTGCAAGATTTAATAGCAGATTTAGCTCAATTCTGTGGCTATTTATATATTGTCCTTCTGCTTAATCTTTTTCTTGTCTTTCTCAGAGTTTTCACTTTTGCATCAGCTTTTTGTGGTTATTTCTCTTCATTTTCTTGTCGTTGTGCAGATGGGTTGAAGGAATAATAGGTTATCAAGTAGGAACTGTTTGTCCAAGCAATCCTGTTTAACGAAGCCCTGGGTCTTGTCTTAAGAAAATTCTACACTGAATCTCCTGGCTTTCCCTGATCTCATCCGATTCAAATGTGAGGTAATTAAACTTACTGAATCTCTTTTCTTTTTTCCTGCAATTTTTAATTTATACGGAAATTTTAACGCATGGAAGGATATTAATTGAAAAACTTGGAATAATTGATTTGTAACATGGATGCTTACGGTGTTTTCACTTTTTTTAAAAAATTTAATGTGATTTGAAGTGGAATTATAGAGTTCAGGTTTCAAAATTCAATCTGTGATGTCTTTTGATTCACAAATATGTGATTTGGCCCACTCTTCTATTGTTCTGAAATTAAAGTTTGTTCATTTTTGTGGTTTTTTTTTGTGTGTAAAAGCTGGCACTATGTTAGTCTGTACATTTATATGAAAATTTTCTCTGCTAATTGTCCCAGAAAAGGTAAAAGGGGCAGAGTACTGTGTTCTAATGACGAATGATTAAGTTAGGCACCAAAGAAAGTTAATTAAAACTCTGAAACATTTGTTAAACTATTAAGATTCAATGCAGGAAATTCTGAGCCTCCGGTTTCTTAAGAGAACAATACTTGCCTCTATTACCAATTTTCTGTATTGAAAACTCTTGCCTAAAATCTTGCACCATCTTTCATTTGCATGTTGCAGTTTCTGTGTCACAAGTTTTTTTGCACATAGCAGCTGTTATGGGCCTCCAAAAGATCTGAAACCAGCATGACCGTTATGGGCCAACAAGATTGCAAGCTGGTTAGGTCTTCTTGTGTAGCTAGCATTTGTATGTATTGCGAGCATCTTTACTTAGCTATTATTTGATCCTTCACTTTAGTGTTTGATTAACAAGGAGATAATGTGTGACTATTTTTAGCTTTTGGTTTGGTTAGTCTCACTTTGTTTAGCTGCTGAAACTTTTCTTGTGCTCACAAGCTGTTGGCATAGAGCTAGATTCACTGCAAGTTTCACCAATGCAGCTGGAGGAGGGCATCTATGTTCTTGTGTTCTTAAGAAGAGGGGGTTAAATTAATAAGGAAACTTTCCCAATTCCCTCAACTTTTTTTATTAACTTTAATTAAAAATAAGATGATCATCTAAATAAATACAATACCAAACTAAGAAACATCCTTGGGTTGGCCAAACGGAAAACTAATTGTGTTCGAACATTGGATTTAGACACCGCCACATTGTTCTCTAGTATTTTAAGAAACATTACCATAACCAATCTAAACTTTTCCTAATAAGACCCATCATTCTCCCGGAAAAGAGCAATTCGACCACAACCCAATGCAAGTTTCTTGATTCCATCCCTTTTTTTGCAATTCACAGCTTTTACTCGTATTGAATTTGAAATCTATCACTACTTTTCAATAAAGGACAATAAACAGCTACATGCATGTAGACAAATCAAATCAAATCAGTTTGTTTTTTTTTTTTTTTGTGCCTTTTTCTTGTATCAACAAATGACTTTCTTCCTCCTTTTTCATTTTGCTTAAATTTTGTTTATTTCTTTAAACTTCCTATACAGTTAGAAATTTTCTTTGAATTTAAATCTTTTCTCTTTTTTTTATTTAAATCTTTCTAACACCTTTTTTTATTTAAAGCTTCTCTCTCTCTGTTCTACACATCAATAACACTTCCTACATCCCCTACCATCCTCCTCTTTCGGCCTTCCCACTTGATTTAACTGATAGTCAATGTTTCAGAAAAATACCCAACTTGGGACATTTGAGATATCTTTCATCTCCTGAGCTCTTTCTCTAGCCCTAAGCTTTGGTAAATGGGTTGGGCAAGCAGTTGGAGATGCTTGACTCATTCGATGACAGGTCTTACAATTCTAGAGACTTATCCAACTCGATGAATCGTTCTTTTAGAGGAACACTGTATCACAATCTTGAGGACCTCAATCAAATCGCCAACTTAATTAAATATTGTCACGCCCTAAATTCGATCCCTATATTGGATTTGCAAAGTGGCATGCTTTATCTATGAGACTTTACTCTCATAAATACAAGACATTATGATCATAACTTACAAAATTTGACTAAAGTTTAAATCTTACAAATATCAATTAAATACATATACTTCACTAAATTGCATCTACAAAATGCATTACTTTAACTTCCTAAAATTTAAATATTTATCTATTTACCTCTCTCACTTATCTGCTAAATGTACACGAGCTGACTTTCTTGAACTAAAAATAAAAAGACGTGGGTTGAGTGACGAATGCCTAGCAGATAGTACTTACTCCCCTATCGAATCATGTAGCTATATACATATTATATACATTTGCAAATTCAGTCATACCATATCACATGCATACATTAATTAAAAATATTTGTCAGCCTATTTCATATATATATATTTCATTGAAGGTCAATGGTATGCACATAAGTGGCCTCGATCCGACGTGATACTTAATCCCACAGGTTCTAATGGTGGCCACCCCCGAACATGGCATAGAAACACATATAATATGACATGATTGTATTCATTGAACATAATTGTAAGTCATAAAGCTTATCAATCATGTCATCTCATTTCATAAATATATCTCGTAAACAAGTATATACAATATTCAGTTTCTGAATAGTTAGCCTAAAGATTGAACCCCTTTTAAGAGGGCGATCACAAGGTTTTGCGATTACCCCTTGATCACATAACATAACATAAGTCAATCAGTTAGAATCTATACCGGTTCTCATGACTAGAGGTGGCAAATCAACCCATTTAATTAAATTTATCCGTACCCGCCCACGAATAAATGGGTATGGGTATCTTGAATTTTTGCATATGGGTATAAATGGGTTACCCAATAATACCCATTTAACCCATTTATTAAATGGGTATTATTGGGTAACCCATCAAATTCAATTAACCCATTTAAAATTGTCTCTTCCCAAGTCTTCTCTCTTGCTCCACCTATTTTTTTTTTCAGATTTTTCATTTTGTCATGATGTTAACTACTTTTATTTCATTATTATTATTATTTGTTGGTTTTATCTTATCATTTTAGTTTCTCTTAGTTTGTTAACTTGCTCATTTTTTAGTATTACCAATTTATGATAAGTTTTAACCTTTTTTCCGATCTTTCCAAAATGAAATTTTAAATTTATATATGAAAAAAATGTTAGCAGCTCAAAATTTTTGTATTAAGTTTTTATGTTAGCTTTTATAGTACTTAGTTCAAAATTTTATATTCTTATTATTCAATTATTAAATAGCATGTAATTTTGCGACATAAAATACGGATAAGAAAAAAATTGATAATTAGGCTTATTGAACATTATAAGTAAATATTCAAAACTAATGACGGGTGCAAAAAGCTGTATAAATTAATAACTTAGTTTGCAAAAAGGAATTTAAAAGAGTTTACAAAAGTTAAAATAAATGGGTAATTGGGTTACCCAATTCATTTTTTGACTTGCCCATTTATACCCATCTAATTAAATGGATATAAATGGGTTGACTCACTTATACCTATTACCCATTTTACCCAACCCAAGCCCATCCAAGTCACCCATTTTGCCACCTCTACTCATGACTAACATAACATAACATGTTAGAATTATAGCCCCTACTGTCTATTTTAGACCATTTAGAGCTTTCTGTAACATAAAATTATTTCACAAATCATATGCACATTTTTTTCATTTCATGAAAATATATCACTCATTTCATAAAACATTGCATAGCAAAATATTTCAAATAGGCATATATGATCCATTTTACATATATCAAAATAAAGCATTTAATTGAGGAAATTCATATATAACATTTCAAAAAAAAGGGGGTAAGTACCACTTACCTTAAACTGTTCTCTTGAAGAGATTCTTAGTGCGCCCTTAAACTTACTTCAAAGTTCATGAATGTCCAATGTGTGTTCTCTCTTTTCCAACGTGAATTAAGGTTGCTTGACTTTCATATACTCGCCATTATACTTTGGTCATTGAATTTTTTTTTTTTAATTTCAAATTGGTAATCAGACTACCATAACATCCCACCCATTCCATCTAATTTAATCCATTCGCAAATGGCTTTGTCAATCGATAGTCTCATATTTGAAAAAAGTTTAGTTACTTTTACCTTAATAGTTTAGTAACATCATTAAATTAATTATCTAATTAAGGTTTATTTTCATCGAAATAAAATTTTCATATTTGTAAGCTAAAACAATTAACTTAAAAAATGATCCCTACCAGAATCATGATTAAACAATGAATAATAACATAAAACATTGCTCAAGGCTCGAATTAGTTTCATGTGTGCCCCTAGAATCCATATAGAAATTAACTTTGATAGCTATAGAGTCATCGTCTGAGTATCTTTTAAGCGAATAAACTTTTTCTTGAAGTGATCGATGAAGTGGAAGGATAATCAAACTTTATACATTTTTTACAAATATATTTTTTAATCATTTTTTATCTCATATATATTAAATTACTATAGTATATTTTTCTTAAAAAACTCCAAAAAATAGTTATTCTAACGAATATTGGTATTGAACTCCCAAATGAAGCGATCCATCTCTCCTATTGGCTTATATTTGATCTTATATACCCATTTCACTCCAATTGGTTTTTTTTCAAGTGGGATAGTGGTTAATTCTCATGCATCTTTTTTTTTCAATGGCATGAATTTTTTCGTCCATTGCACGAACCCAACGATCATTTTTTGCTACTTCTTCAAATGAGACAAGCTCACAATCTGCAAAAAGAGCAAAATTGACAATCTCTTCATCAGTTAAATCATTATCTTTACCATAGCATAATCATCAAATCAGGCTGGCATGCAACGTTCTCTCTGTGGTCGGCTGGATGTCTTAGCCTGAATAGTGGAAGGTGAGGGATCACCATGAGGCTGCACAACTTGCTCCACTGCTTGCTTATCAGCGCTCGGTCCCATAATGGGAGAAATGGATGAGTACTTTAGCAATGTCTCAGGATCTTGTTTAGACTAATCCCAAGCTCCATGTTTCATCAAAAGTCACATCTTTGCTAACAATCACCTTTCCTGAGTTTGGATTGAATTACTTATATCCTTTAGTCTCATGACTATATCTAATAAAAATACACTTCTCTGCCTTATCATCCAATTTCTTCCTCAAATGATCTAGAATATGCGCATACGCAAGACATCCAAAAACCTTGAAGTGAGAAATATCCAGTTTCATACTAGTCCAAACTTCTTGTGGGGTCTTCCCAAAATTGCATCTAGCAGGGCACTTGTTCAAAACATAAATAGCACAAGATACTGCTTCTGCCCAAAAGGATTTAGCAATACGTTTGGAGTGCATCATAGACCTCACCATGTCCATCACAGTCCTATTCTTCCTTTCAGCCATGCCATTTTGCTGAGGTGTATATCTAACTGTCAATTGATGTTTTATACCACTTCCACCAAGTAGTCATCATAAATAAGATACTCAGTGCCTCTATTAGTTCTCAAAGTTTTAATAAAATAGTCACTCTGCTTCTCTACATAATATTTGAATTTTTTAAAAATATCACATGCATCAGATTTATTTCTCAGAAAATACACCCATGTCTTCTTGCTGAAATCATCAATAAAGGTAATAAAATATTTACTACCACTATTGGAAGGAACTTCAACTGAGCATAAATCTGAATAAATCAGTTCAAGTGGTTGATTAGCCCTCCAAGCCTTGCCTTTTGGAAAAGGATCCTTGTGCTTCTTTCCCAAAATACAAGACTCACTTTTCTTATCAGGAAACTCAACAGAACCCAATAACTAATTTCTTTTTTTGCAAGAAATTTCAAACTCCCAAAATTCAAATGCCCAAAATGCATATGCCATAACCAAGAATCATCACAAGCCATGGAATTAAAGTAAGGTAAATCGCCACAGTTAAGAGAAAGAGGCCACAAACGACTACGGTTTATCTTTACCTTGGCAATTAATCCCAATTTTTCATCACTTATGGTGCCTTTACCATATTTAAAATGCAGATCATAACCTTTCTCAGATAGTTGTCCCAAACTCAACAAATTATAATATAAACTTGGCACATACAAAACATCAAAACTAAAATTCGAAGACCCATCTTGCAAAATAATTCTGATTTTTCCCTTTCTAAGATCAGACACTTTTTCATTGTTTCCAAATCTCACAAATGCATGAAAAGATTCATCTAGGTTAGAAAACATCTCCTTTTTATCATACATATGATTACTACAACCAGAATCAATAAACCAATCATTCTTCATAGACTCTCCAGCTATAGAACTAGAAAGCAACAAGGTCTCCTCTCTATCACTACTATTTTCAGCCACTTTAGCATGCAACTCTTTATTGGACCAACATTCATTCTGATAATGACCAATTTTACCACAATTATAATATTGGACATTAGATCTATCATGCCTTTGAAAATTATTTCTTTGACTTTGCTGTTGATTGTTTTTATTGATCCCTGTTAGAATTAGTTCTGAGTTGGTAAGAATAATTACCTCTTCCATGACCATGAAAGTTACCTCTACCTCCACATCCTCTACCTCTAAGGTTCTGGTTCCTTTGATTTGTATCCATATGATTCACCTCCTCTTTTCCTTTTAAGTTATCCACCTTGGCTTGTATCACCTCCTCTACTGTATCCAATGGCTGCTGATTCAAGAACATCTCATATGTCAGCAATTCACCTTCCAATTCAACCAGTGACAAATTGTCAAGGTCCTTTGTGGCTTCAAGGACCATCTTCTTGGTGTGAAATTTGGCAGTTAGAGATCTCAGAACTTTTTCAACAACTCTAACCTCTTTCAAATTCTCACCATTGGACACCATATCATTGACAATTTCTTTAATTGTACCAATAAAATCTTTAATTGACTCCATGGATTTCATCTGGGCCAACTCAAATTGTCTCCTAAGTTCCTGCAATTTGATTTTTCTCACATTAGCAGCACCTCGATTTGAGTTCACTAAAATTGTCCAAGCCTCTTTTGCCGACTTTGAATGTATAAATTTTTTTGCAACATGCAATTGGACTTGAGTGTTGAGATAGTACATTGCCTTGCAATCCAACTATCTATTTCTCTCTAATTCTTTAACTGCATCGCTTGATAATTTCATACCTGCTACCAGTTCCGTATATCTTGTTTCGACAATATTCCAAACTCCAATATTTTGGAAAAAATTCTTCATCATCAACCTCTAAGCCTCAAAATCGTTTTTACTATCGAAGATAAGAACGTGACAATTGTGCAAATAATGCGGATCCATACTTTAATTTTACGAACAAGCTCCAAGCCCTAGGATTAAAACTTAGAGCTCTAATACCACTTGTTGGCACGAAAAATCTCCGTGCACACAGTGAAAGTAATTCTAACACATATAAAAAATATATGGGAAGAGGAGGAGAACAAACACTCAATAATTTATTTAACTCAAAACAAATATTAAGTCATAATCTTTTGCTCATGACAACTCACAAATCTCAACTATGAGATTTTCTCTTAAGTCTAATCTTTAGACTCAACTCAACTCTCCACACCAATAACCTACTAGATTGTTAGTATTTATAGACTCCAAAATTTCCTAAAGCAAATACAATTGTAAACCAAAACTTATTTGGAAACTGACTGGAGATTTCCTAATCTAATATGGAAACTAAACAAATAAGATACCAAAACAAATTAGGAAAAATAGCTTGATTTGTTTTCCTACATATTATTTGTGAGTTTATTTATAGTATTATTTATTACTTCGATTACTTTATGTTCCTTTTAATCTTGTTAAAGGAAAAAAAAACAAGTTATCAAGCCTCTTTACCAAATGCTAGTTGGTTCCCCTGCTCTTCACGTAGGTTTGCTCGTGAGTTTTTCATAATTTGTTGGCAAAAAGATTAATACGTTAACTATGAAAATAATTATTCTAAGCAAAAAAAGATTGAAAAGAAATTAATATGTCAACTTATTAAAATACATGATTCATAAAATACTTGTCTAAGTTTTTAAATGATGAAAGACTAAAAAGATGAAAATTCCATAAAATGTTTGAATATTGATAGATTTTTGTATAAGTTAATACAAAAAGCATCATTATGGTTAGTAAATACATTAGGCCAAAAATGTAGCAAACAAAAAAAAAACACAATATCTTTATTACCTATAAATACAACCATAAAAAAATAAATGGATAAAAATAGAAAATTGACTAAAATTTTAAAGTTGGTCTACATGCATGTATGCTTACCAAGAGGTGTAGATATGGTATACATTTATTTGTATAGAAATAATCATAATCCTCTGAAACAGCATGCACACACACACATATTTATACTTATGGAATATATATATATATATATATATTAAAACTCTGTAGCATAAAAAGTATGTGTGGTATTGATCTTCTTGTATCTGACAATAAGTTTTACACAATGTGTAATATGGTGAAATTTAAAAAAAAATGATTGAATGATGATTTCGATGAGCAGTGTGCTAAAATTGCATGAGCAAAGGAGGCAAAACATGAAAATAAATACATAAGTACAAGGAAAGCATCAAAGGCTGGACATGAAACAGATAAATGAGCATTAAAAGAGTGTGAAGGATGACTAACCAGGGAGAAAAAAACCAGAAGAGTAGAAGGACAGAGTGAGAGCAATAAAGATGGAGGAAAGGTTTTTGATTAGGTAAATAAAAAAATAGTAATGAAATTCGTTAGGGGTAAATGAATTTGGAATCTTATTGGAGACATGAACAAAAAAAAATATTAATTAGGATATAAGGAGATTTAGTGGACCAAAATTCATCTCGAAAACTGGTCCAAGCACATTTAGCATGGAGTACATTGACTATTGTATGATGGAAACGTAGGCCTACGTGCTTTTTTTTTTTTTTTTTTTTAAACTAAGGAGTCAAAAGAGTACGAATGTTGCAAAAACAAAATAAGAGTTATTTGACCAAAAAAAAAAAAGTAAGAGTCCAAAGAGCATCAAATGTAGCATCCATATTAGACAAAATTTACCACAAAATGCTCAATTAATTGCTAAAAACCTGGCAGAACAAGCATGGGATTTTATCAATTTTTGCTCTAATAATCATTTTCTCTCATGTAATAACACGTAAGAATCTCCCACAACATCCAATAAGAATGGGACAAAATCGAAAAAAAATGTTAATCATACAGTAGTCAGCAAGCAACAAAGCATTAAAAAAATGGTGGCTAAATTAGCGTAATAAGGCGAGACAGACAAACACAAAAACCATAGCGTTTGTAAGAAATCACCAAAAAACCAGTAGAAGACGACGCTTCAATTATTCATTAAGCCTTCTGCTCTTTTAAATAGTGGAGGTTTTTCTCAGGAACAGAGAGAAATTTGGACCGGGATTGGGACTAAAATATTTCACTAAATCTAAAGAAGAAAGGAAAAAATATGCAATGCAAAGAAATCTGAATACATAGGGATTCGGTGTGTAATGGCACCAAAATATCTCACTAAATTTAAACAAAAAAAGGAAAAATCTAAAATGCAAAAAATGTGGAGTAAAATATATAAAATGCTTTTTTTAAATCATGCCCTTTCTATTCAACTGGAGCTTACCATATCCAATACAAAAGAGTTAATGTATTTGTGAGGAATAAAGAGAAATTCGAAGCATAATTAACACTAAAATGTTTAACTAAATTCAAAGGAAAAAAAAAGGAAAAAATTCGAAATCTAGAGAAATCTGGAGTAAAATCTATGAGAAGCTGTTTTTTTTTTAATCATGTCATGTCCACTCAATTGGAGCTTACCATATCCAATACAGAATATATTATTATTATTATACTACTAAAATTAAGTAATAAATAAATAATGTACACAAACAATAATAGTGGATTTGTCTAGAAAGCATTAAATAAGTTTCTAATCAAGAGATCCTTTATTTTTCTTTTAATATCAATAGAAAATATGCGGAATAAAATTTACAAATTTGGGAAAAAAAATCGTGCTGGGATTTTGTGGGGACATTGTGGTTGGTCAAACAATAAATTAAATTTGAATAAAGAAGGGAAGGAGAAAAGCTAGGGATGTAAAATGAATTTTGAAGCAGGATTCTTGTTGCCATTTTTTTTTATCACATCATAGCCATTCAAACGTTAAACTAATTTGAATAAAGAAGAAAAAGAGGGAAATCAAAGATGGAAACAAATTTAGAGAAAATTTTATTTTAGAATTTTTCACCAAACTATGTCCATATTTATTTTAGAATCTTTTATCAGACCATGTTTATATTAATACAGAATTGTCTCGGACCATATTTATATTATTAATATATAAACTAATGTAGAGAAACAAATAACAAAAAAATACCCTCACTTTCTTTGCCTGCCCCAAAAATATGCACACTCGTCCTTAGCCATCATCATATTTTTTTAAATTTTCAAAACTCACGACCAAATTGTTGGGAGAGCTATGGGAGTGGAACCACTAACCAAAGAAACAAAAATACAAAGAACACAATAAGACCGAATTGCCCCTAGACTTGGCAAGAAATCACAATCCAGCCGGCAGAACGCCTGGGAGGGACGACGCGGCTGTTCCTTGGGCTTGGGCCCTTTTAAAAGATCGGACCAAGGAAAGAAGAAATGCTCCTATTGTTTCCTATAGGTTGCAAACGAATCGAGTCGAGCGAGTTTTAGATTTATCGAGTCGAGTTCGACTTAATAATAGATGGGTTCGAGTTTGAACTCGAGCTCGACGAACCAAAAAAATTGAGATCGAGCTTGACTCGATCAAGGAAAAGCTAGGCTCGACCTCGGCTCGACAAGGCTCGCGAGCTGTAACTCGATTTCTGACTCGCGAGCTGCTCGAATTGTCAGCTCGTAATGTAGCTCGATTTCTAGCTCGCAAGCAGCTCGTTATCTCGAGTTTCTAGAAATTAATCTAATAAAAATAACAAATAATTATTTTTCTTAATAAATAATAAAATATTAGGGATATAAATGTAATTTTACTATTAAAATAAAAAATATATATAGTAAATTTAAAAATAATATATATATATATATATATATACTCGTGCTCGCAAGCCTAACGAGCTTAATATTTTGAACTCGAACTCGATCTCGAGTTCGATTTCGCCAGTTCGAGCTCGACTCGAGTTCGATATTGACCGAACTCGGGTCGAGCTTTGACTCGAGCCGCTTGTGACTCGGTTCATTTGCAGCCCTAGTTTCCTACGCATTCTTTAACTCACTGATTCACTTTGTTTTTTTTGGTAGATAAAGGGGTAGAAATTAATTAATAGCTTAAGCATTTGCCTGATTCGCTGGCAAACTGCAAAGTAAGGCTAAACTCCGAAAAACTTTTTACAAATGTCATGGAGTCACACTTATCAGTTGCAGCTTTTTCCAACAGGGTGTCTAAACAAAAGTTGCAAAAAAAAAAAATGTTGTGGGAAAGGAAAATTATTCGTGGTGGGGATCATTTTTTAAGTTAATTATTTTAGCTTACAAATATGAAAAATTCATTTTGCTGAAAAATAAGCCTTAAGTAGATAATTAATTTAATGATGTTACTAAACTATTAAGGTAAAAGTAACAAAACTTTTTTTAAATATGAGACCATCGACTGACAAAACCATTTACGAATGGATTAAATTAGATGGAAAGGGGTGGGATGTTACGGTAGTCTGATTACCAATTTGAAATTTAAAAAAAAAAAAAAAAACAAATGACCAAAGTATAATGGCAAGTATATGAAAGTCAAGCAATCTTAATTCACGTTGGCAAAAAGAGAACACACATTGGACATTAATGATTAAACAATGAATAATAACAAAAAAAAAAATAGTGCTCAAGGATCAAATTAGTTTCGTGAATGCCCCCGGAATCCATACAGAAATTAACTCCGACGGCTAGGGAGTCATCACCCGAGTGTCTTTTAGATGAATGAACTTTCTCTTAAAGTGACTCACCGAATGGAAGGATTATCAAGCTTTTTATATTTTCTATAGATATATTTTTTACCTACCTTTTTATCTCACATATATTAAATCACTATAATGTATTTTTCTGAAAAACTCCAAAAAATAATAATCGTAATGGGGCATCGGTATTGAATCCCCCAAATTAACTTTAAATTTACTCTGACTTGAAGTATCCTTTCTTGAAAACTTGGACTGGGCAAGGGACTCTTCGAGCTGGGGAGTGTGTATCTACAACAGCTGGATTGGGGTTTAAATAACGGAGTAAAATCTAAGACAAGATTTAGGTAGACTAGTTGGGAAAACAATTGGGTTCTCTGTGTATTATGATTAACTTTACAAAACACAACGACCATGCAAGTAAAGTACAAACAGGATGAGAAAATGACTTCATTTTTTTATTTCTAATTCTTTTCTTTCCCTTCATTCGATATATTTCATGACAAGAGTATTTCACAAAATAATCTTTCAATTTTGTCTCACATCATTTAGCAACACACATGGCCTTGTTTGGACAGCAATTACTACGTTTTTCGTGAACACATTTTCTAATCACCTTTTTACTTCACATATATCAAATCACTACAGTAATTTTGCTATAAAAATTTAAAAAAATGCAATCCAAACAAAGCGTTACGTCAAGCTTCTTAGTTGTTAATAGTTCAATATTTTACAATATTTAAGGTATACAAAGAGCTACACTTGATTATAGATTTTAGTTTCAATCTGACTTTTTATTTATTTAGTTATTTTTTGCATTGGACTAGCAACAATGTGAGATGATGTTTGCATGCAAAGCGAAAGAACTTTTCTTTTATTTGTGCCCTTTTTGTAGAAGGGGCAAAAAAAAAAAAAAAAAAAAACTGCAAAAGTTGACTCTCTTTACCGATAATATGTCCATACTTTCTTGTCTTGATAAATCAGTTTCTTGTCTTCAGTCGTAAAATAAACATTAGGTCTTCTTCTGAACGTGTTATCTTTGAAAAGATTTTGTGACGCTATTAGGATCATTGGAGTACCAAGAATAAAAGAAAGGGATAATTGCAGAAACCTCCCCTGAGATTTCTGACATTTGCACTAACCTCCCCTCTAGGTTTAGAAATTGCATTCACCTCCCCTGAACAGTAACAATTTGTTGCAGAAACCTCCCTGACAGCTTTTATAGAAGTGAGATAAGAAATTTCTTCCAATTTTGCCCTCTTCTTGCTTGACAATTATTATATGCTTGACAATTGCTTAACTAATTATCTAATTAGTTAATAGTTAAACTAATTAACTATTAACTAATTATTTGATTAATTATTAACTAATTAACTAATTAACTAAAGCTATTGTTTGTCCGAAACTAACAAACTATTTGCATGTTAAACTATATGCAGTACGCATTGCCTATTTAAAGTATCGACTCTTTATGGGTATTTTACTTTCAAACATTATGATAAAAACATCAATATTTGTAAGTAAAATTCAAAAAGTATTACAGTAATATTCTTACAAAAAGGGAGGGGCATAGGGCCATAAATTAAATGTTTGAAATTAAGAATACTGATATTTTTTGTAACACTTTTGAATTTTACTTACAAATATTGATATTTTTATCATAAATTAAATGTTTGAAAGTAAAATACCTATAAAGAGCCGATACTTTAAATAGGTAATGCGTACTGCATATAGTTTAACATGCAAATAGTTTGTTAATTAGTTAGTTAATTAATTAGTTAATTAGTTAAGCAGTTAATTAGTTTAACATGCAAATAGTTTGTTAGTTTCGGACAGACAATAGCTTTAGTTAATTAGTTAATTAGATAAACAGAAATTAGTTAATTAGTTAATTAATTAATTAGATAATTAGTTAGTCAATTAGTTAAGCAGTTAATTAGTTAATTAGTTTAACATACAAATAGTTTATTAGTTTCGGATAGACAACAGCTTTAGTTAATTAGTTAATTAGATAAACAGAAATTAGTTAATTAGTTAATTAATTAATTAGTTAGTTAATTAGTTAAGTAGTTAATTATTTAATTAGTTTAACATGCAAATAGTTTGTTAGTTTCGGACAGACAACAGCTTTAGTTAATTAGTTAATTAGTTTAACATGCAAATAGTTTGTTAGTTTCGGATAGACAACAACTTTAGTTAATTAGTTAATTAGATAATTAGATAAACAAAAATTAGTTAATTAGTTAATTAATTAATTAGATAATTAGGTAGTTAATTAGTTAAGTAGCTAATTAGTTAATTAGTTTAACATGCAAATAGTTTATTAGTTTCGGATAGACAACAACTTTAGTTAATTAGTTAATTAGATAATTAATTAATTAGTTAATTAGATAAATAGAGATTAGTTAATTAGATAAACAGAAATTAGTTAATTAATTAATTAGATAATTAGTTAATAGTTAATAGTTAATTAGTTTAATTATGCAGAAATAGTTTGATTAGTTAATAACTATTAACAATTAGATAATTAGTTAATAGTTAATTAGATAATTAGTTATTAATTAATTAGATTATTAGTTAATTAGTTAAACTATGCAGAAATAGTTAATTTAGTGTAATTTTTATTAACAAATGCTTTGTTGGGTTTGATGAAAGTACTCATCACATTCATTTGGTAAAATTAAATCATATCAGGGGTACTTTGATAAATTGACCCACTTTTGCCTATTAAATTGCCTCCAACTTTTGATAGGGGAGGTCAGTGCTATTTCAAAATTAATAGGAGAGGTCAATGCTATTACTATAAAATTCAGGGGAGGTTTCTGCAATTATCCCTAAAAGAAAAGGAGACATGGCCTCAAATTTCAATTCGACATCACCACGCAAATTTGAAAGGCGGGCCAGTCCTGCTTCTAATACACAATTGTTGAGTAGGTATTGTGTCCTGTCATCACCACGCAGTAGGTATTGTGTCCCTTTCTTCTATTGGGGAGCTGATGGTAATTGTTGATAACGTGTTGTCAAAAAACTTCATCCAACTTTGGATTTGATTTTGAAGCAAGATAAATTATTTTAATCCTTTGGTCCTTCAATGACCAAAATATAATGACCAGTATATGAAAGTCAAGCGTCTTTAATTTACATTGTCAAAAAGAGAACGCGTTGGACATTAATGATTAAGCAATAAATAATAACTCATTTTTTTAATAGGATGACAAAATGACCTCAGTTTTTTATTTTCTAATTCTTTTCTTCCCATTTATTTGATATATTTCACGATACTAGTATTTCACAAAATAATCTTTCAATTTTCTCTCTTGCTTGTGTGTTTGGATATATGGATCAAATTATTTACTTATATCACAATCATAATTTTTAATATATTTTTTATTTCATATATATTATATCATAAAAAATATTATAATAATTATTTCAAATAATCTACTATCCGATCACATATTTGATTATCCATTTTAGTTTTAATCTGACTTTTCTTTTTTATTTTTTCTAGCAATAATGCTCGTCAACCCAACCAAATTTATTCTCATCTGGCAGGCCAGCACCGCACCACTTTGATTTATTTTATTGTGGTCTGGTGCACTGTAAAAATGCACGGTAATAAACAAATAATGCATCGTGTGGGGACGGGGAGGGAACGAGCTTGCCAGCACCGTGTGGGGCCTAACAATAATAATGCACCTGTGGAAATTTCAAAGGGATAATTTCAGAAACCTCCCTTGAGGTATCCGACAATTTCACTCAGCTCCCCTCAGGTTTAAAATTTTACACTTACCTCCCTTAGTATAGTAAAATACTTATAATGCCCTCCACTTGGTAAATAATTTTAAATTTAAGGCAATAAATTTACTAAACCCAACAAAATTTCTATTTTTCTATCTTATGTCTATTTTCGCTCTTCTCTTTTTTAGTTAATAGAATGCCTTTTTATTATTTTTAGTTTTGTAGATATTCGCGAATTGAAATTACAAATTAATAGAGGAAGCAGATTATATGTCAAACTAGAAGAAAATGAAAAGACTCACAGTGACAGAGAAATAAATAATAAAATTAATAATTGAAATAGGAAAAAAAGCAAAAGATGTGGAATTTGTCATATTTTGTTTGCCCCCAAGAAATTTTTTTATAAAATATCAATAATTACAAAAGGATTTCTTTCATTGGATTAGAAATTTTTTATTATGATTTTATTGTGGAGGAATTTATTCTTTACTTTTGAGTAATAATATTTTTAAGGCATAAAATGGTTGTAACGATGGTTCTAAGTTAGATTAGCTTGTATTCAAAATATATTTAAGTATTGATATTTAATTTTGGATATAAAAATTGGTTATCAATAGGGTTTGTGCGTGTGTGTGTGTGAGTGTGTTTTTTTTTTTTTTTGCATGACAAGTATGGATATTGTGTATGCAATTTGGGATCTTTTAAATGGTTATTTGATTTTTAGAACATACGTCTGGATAGTTGTCCGGGATTAGACTTGTTGACTTGTGCAAAGTGTAGAAGAAAATGATTGACTATAATATATTTTGCATTTCTAGTTCTGTATAAAAGGGTGTTTTAGGATTTTTGTAAGAAAATCTATCTTACTAGACCTATATTTTTATTAAATAGTAAAAGTAAGGGAGGTATATATAATTTTTAAAACTTGAGGAGAGCTATCTATAATTGTCAAAAATTTCAGGGGAGGTTTGTGAAATTATCCCAATTTTTTTACTTGTGCAAAGTGTAGAAGAAAATTATTGAGTATAATATATTTTGCTTTTCTAGTTCTGTACAAAAGGGTGTTTTAGGATTTTTGTAAGAAAATCTATCTTACTAGACCTATAATTTTATTAAATAGTAAAAATAGGGGAGGTATATATAATTTTTAAAACTTGAGGAAAGCTATCTATAATTATTAAAAATCTCAGGGGAGGTTTGTGAAATTATCCCAATTTCAAAAGGCTTCGTACACGGAGAAATTCAATAGCATACAAAATAAAAGTTTTCACACTTCAGCGTCAAGATATGTGAAGGTCTTCTAAGTTTCTAATATTTGTCAATATCTGAGTCAAGATAAATTGCTCCCTTTGCTATCTATGTAAGAGTAAAACCATCATCTTTTGCTAGTGAATTCCATCCATTGCAGAGTCAAACCATAATCTCATCCAAAATGGCAGAAAGCCTATCCTCAATCCTATCCTCTGCAGTGCAGAATATAGGTAAATTGGTTATTGAAGAAGGAAAGTTTCTACAAGGCGTTGGCGAGCAAGTCAGACTCCTTAATGATGATCTCAAATGGATACAAATGTTCTTAAGATATGCAGATACGAAACAGACTGCAAGGGACACTATACAACAGTGCCTTCCGGAATTTAGAGCGGTCGCTTATGAAGCAAGTGATTTGGTTGAAGACTATGCTTTGAGGGTTTCAATGTCAAGCAGCAGAGGCTTTACACTTACTCTAAAGAGGACTGCTTGCATCGCCAGAGAAGGTTATACCATTCATGATTTGTGTTTAAAGATTCAAAGTCTCAGAACTAGGATCTCTAATCTCGCCAAAAATTTTGGCTGGTATGCAAATTTAATGACCAGAACGGAGGAAGGAGACTCGAGTGCTCCATCCAGGCAGCAACAATTAAGGCACACTTACTCCTTCGTGGCTGAGGAGGATGTGGTTGAACTGCCTAATGATATTCAGGTGCTAGTTAAATATTTGCTGAATCAGGGTGAAACAGAGAACAAAATAAGTGTGGCTTCGATTTTGGGCATGGGAGGCATAGGCAAAACCACTCTTGCTAGAAAGGTATATCACCATGAAAGATTGAAGCATTATTTTAAAGGTTTTGCTTGGGTTTGTGTGTCACAACAATGGCAACCAAACGATCTCTTGCAAGGCATTCTACTCAAGCTTACTCCTGAAAACAGAAAACAGATAATGAAGAGCAAACAAGATGAGCTAGCAAGGCTGCTTCAACAGCACTTGCGAGCTAGGAGATGTTTGATTGTCCTCGATGACATTTGGTCAACAGAAGCATGGGATTGCCTAAAAGACGCAATCCCAGTTTCGGAGCATGGATCCAAAATTTTGCTCACAACTCGTAATGAATACGTGGCAGCATATGTTGCTTCAAATGGTTATCAACATAAACTGCGTTGTTTGACCGATGAAGAAAGTTGGGAGTTGCTGCGCATGAAATCGGAGTTTCTAGCACTGAGGGAGAGAAGTGGTAAAGGTAAAATTTTTCTCCTTTGTTCACATTAAATTCATTTTATGTAAAAGGCCACGGATATACAATAGAAATGCTGCAATGGAAACATAACTAACATTTACTTAAACAACTTGATCTTTTTTTTAAAAAAAAACTTCAGATTCATACAATCCAGTAGTTAAAAAAAAAACGAACATGTCTCTTAGTATCATGGTTCAAAGGAGCGGTTGCGGCCGTCACCGTTTCACATCGAGCACGGTAGAATCGTCACGATGTCAATGAGACGCATATTTAATATTAGATAAATATTTAATTCTTCTTACAATTCATTCTCTATTCTTTCTAAACAAAAGAATGTTTTAAATTTGCGATAAAATACATGTATAAAAAAAATAAGAAGTAAAGATTATGTGTTTGTATTTTTCTATTTTCCTCCCTTATTGCTAACTATAAGATTTTAAATTGATGTTTCACTGACCATTATGTGTTTCAAATCACAATAAATATTGGGTAAATATATTTTTAGCATGCTACATATTTATATGTATGTCTATCCAAAACTGTAAGAAGAGCTCATAAGGAATTTTAAACATTTAAAGACAGAACACAATATTTAAGAAGTTTTGGATTTCAAAGTGAAATGGCTAAATAAATAGGAAACATGGAATTACCTATGAGTTTTTAGTAAGAACCAAAGAAGCTTTAGAACTTTTAAGCATTTTACGGAAATAAAATTTTAAGTTGGAAATAAAATTAAAAAAACTTCTTACCAAAAAGAACGGGGGTATGTTTGATAATCACAATAACTATGACCACTCACTGGCAATAAAGGATAGATCTGTCAAAGTCAAAGTCAAAGTTTCAATGGGTCTTGCTCCCCGACTTCTGAGAGCTCTCCTCCCATTCTTCTCGGTTTCATGCTCCACCACAGCCATAACCCAATTCCTTCTTCCCAAGTCCAAACTTTCTTGGTTTCTTTTTCCTCTCAACTTTCCTCTCCCCGGTTTCTTTATTTACCTATCTCATGCTTTTTATTTTTCTTTACATTTGTTATTGTATTTTCTTAATTAGTGTTGATGGATTTTCAATGTTCTTGACGTGTTATTTTCTGATTTTCGTTGCCTCTTCATGGATTTTAGAATACCAGAAAGCTTGTTGTGTCCTTGGATCCGAGTTGAAGCAGGGTGACTCGGATGTTTGTGGCAATTTTTTGAGTCTCCTAGTCGACTCAGTCTGAGTCGATCAAGTCTGAATGAGTCACTTGCAGTTCATGTGTCTCCTATGAATAGTGGACCCATCTTAGAATAGAGAGCCCCATTCCACTGACGACTCGTTTGAGTTGAGCCCCATTCTAGTGACGTCTATAGTTTCGGACTTAGACGAGTTTTTGAACCATGCTTAGGATAGCCATTTTCGTAGACTATTGATAGGTCTCAAGTCTTTGGATTGGGAGACTTATCAGTTAACAAAATGTCAAGGTTTTCGTATAGTTGTCAATGATAACATGATGCTTATGAATGATAGATGCGCTGTAGTTGATATTAACTTAGTTTTGTTTAATGCTACATAGGTTATGAAGATTTGGACAAGATGGAAGAGTCAGGGAAGAAAATATTGAAATACTGTGGAGGTCTTCCATTGGCCGTGGTGGTTCTAGGTGGAATCCTTAGAACTAAAAAAACCCTCAGGGAATGGAATGAAGTGCATGAGAATATCAAATCCTATCTGGATAGGGGAGAAAAAATTGGAAAAGAAGGAGAGGTGCCCAAGGTTTTGGCTTACAGTTACTATGACCTCCCTTGGCAACTAAAACCATGCTTTCTTTACTTGGGTAAATTCAAGGAAGATTCTGACATTGGAGTAGCAAGTTTATATCAGATGTGGATAGGAGAAGGTATGATATTTGAGAATGATAGAAGGGAGCAAGAAACAATGATGGATGTCGCAGAGCGTTACTTGGAAGAATTAGCAAAAAGATGCATGGTTGAGATTAAAGTACATGAGGATGGGAAGCATGCGGTAACAAGGTTGGAGTCGTGTCGGCTTCATGATCTTATGAGAGATCTATGTTTAGCCAAGGCAAAAGAGGAGAATTTGTATAAGCTGGTCGATCAAAGTACTTCACGAGATTCTCCTCCCGCATTTGAAGCACAGTATGGTTTAGTCCTTCATTTGCTTCCAGAGGATATTTCTAAATACAACTTTCTGCCAAAAGATCAAACTAAGCATCTTCGCTCATTCTTGTGTGATCCGTTGGTAAGCCAATGGGAACGTTTTTCAAGGGTGAGAATAATGTCCCAAGTCAAGAATTTGAAGATGCTTAGAGTTTTGGCAATTTTGTCCTCCAATATGGCCTCCCAAAGGTGTTATTTCAAGTCACCTCTGCGATATATCGGTAATCTTATCCATTTGCGATGTTTGAGATTGAGGCAGTGTCATCATATAAACTTGCCACATTCCTTGGGCAATTTAAAGTACTTGGAAACTCTCGATTTATCTGATAGTTTTCATTGTAGAATACCAAACATCCTACGGAAGTTGGAACGTTTGAGATATCTTTATCTTCCGAGGTCGTGGGGCTGTCAGCCCAAGCTGCGGTTGAGCAAGCAGCTGGAGATACTTGAATCATTCGATAGCATAATTTGCTATCCTAAAGATGTATGCAAATTGTCGAATCTCAGAGCTTTCACAGCAATAGTGTATAGCAATTTGAAGGACTGGGCACGCATCATCAATCATATATCAAACATGGACTGCATACGCACTAGTTCACTTATGATCAATGGTTGTAATTTTGGACGAATCAACTCCAACAATTCGAATGACAACAGCAGGGGTTTGGATGTTCTTTCAAGGGTGTTGTTTAGTAGGAATATTCATGAAATAGTGATCTACGGTAGTTTATGCAAGAAGTTACCGGATTACCAATCCCATATGTTTCCTGATCCTGCAGGACTTACTCGATTAAGGCTGTTTGGTACTAAAATTGAGGAAGACCCAATGGGAACACTCGAGAAGCTTCCTGGCCTAAGAATACTGATGCTTGGGAGAAATTCTTTTCTGGGCCAAGAAATGATTTGCCGCTCAACGGGATTTCCCCAACTAAAACATCTCGAGCTTAATGGTTTGGGTAACTTGAAGCTGTGGAAACTGGATGATGGGGCCATGCCTAAGCTTTTAACTTTAGGGATTGACGAGTGTGAACAATTGGAAATGATTCCAGATGGGCTGAGATGTTTAACCATTCTAAAAGATGTATCTCTTGCGAGAATGCCTGAAAAATTTAACAATAGAATTAGGATGGAGAATGGTCAGCAAGGAGTTGATTATGATAAAATAAGCAATGTACCTTCAGTTAAGATCCGCAGGTACTCTTTTTCTCCTTTTACTTTTTCCTCCAATTTTTCTCTTTTAATTTTCAATTTACGGTTCTTGGAATTCCCTTTTTCTTGGCATCGAGTTCCAATCTCAATTTTGAGAATCTCACCCCGGAAGAAACGGGATCACAGTACTTGCTCTGTGAGATTCTTTTTAGTTTCATCTTCCAAATATTTATTTTTGTTTATCTAAGACATCATCTAATGTAATTCCTATGCCGTGACTGATTAAGGAATTTGGTGATGAGGAAGTAAGTTTATATTTCAAAGCATTGCCTTCCATATTGTAAGGTGAAATCAAAATATTTTGCTTATTTTCTCGTGTTTGGAAATGGGTTGACATAATCTCTCATAAATTAAATTTAATGGATTAGTATGTGTTACCGTCATATAATGTACTCATCAACAAAAAATGTTACATGGTGTAAAAAATGCCTAATAACTCTTTAAATTATTTGTGCTTCCCCTGTAATTGTTTTAGATTACCATCCCTATTTAATCTAATATCTTGGATTAAAATTAAATTTTGTTTAGCATTTGGTGACAAAGAAGCATCATGTTGCCTTCAAGTCTTATTGGTGACAAAGAAGGTGAAAGAAAGTCTTATTGATATCAAAACCAACAATCAGAGCTTGTGTTAAGTCAATCAAGACCATTTACTTTAATTCGTCGTACAAAATGACATGGCATGTTTGTTGAGTGATGATGCACTTTGACTCCATTCTCAGTTACGCAGAATTGTTTCCCGTGCAAGTGGTGCCTGCCGAGGATTGGAAGGACAAAATGTTGGCGGAAAAAAATTTTTTTTTTGAGATATTTTTTGTTTGGGTTTAGTAATTTCTTTTTTGCAGTAATGTTATCAATTTTTTCTTAAATATGAATGAATTTACGGTAGATATTTATAGAGAAATTTTAAGATCATTATTTTCTATTACTAATTGGACTGAACTATATATATATAAAGGATTGTTAAATATAAGATGCCAAAGAATTACAATTGAATAGAATGAAATATATAAGTTAAGTAGGAAAAGAAGCAAGACAATTTTTTTATTGGTTATAAATTTATAAGTTTAGTTGGCAGACTTTACATTTGTTTGATTTGCTTGTCCTGTTTATATTTGTTTATCATCTTGTTTCCTTTTACTTTTTAAATTACAAATCATGCAATCCATATATTTGCCGTGAAGTCAGATTTGTTTTGCTGTTTAGCCTCAAATTTAAATGACAACACCTCGTGACAACATCTAATTTTGTCATAAATAAATTAAATTTAATGACAATAGTGCTTATTATCCCATAATGTTAATTTTTTGGTGAGGACTTGTGTTATTGTCATTAATAGAACACATATTTTTGTTATGAGAAAAATCACTAAAATATTGTCATAACATGAATTTTTTGGCTATGACAACACACTTTTGTTGTCATTCCCCTGTTTCATGAAAAAATAGATCCACTTCCAAAAGGTTAAGAAATTATGCAAGATTTAATAGCAGATTTAGCTCAATTCTGTGGCTATTTATCTTTTGTCCTTCTGTTTAATCTTTTTCCCGTCTTTCTCAGAGTTTTCACTTTTGTATCAGCATTTTGAAGGAAATTTGTAATAGTAGATTGAGCTCAATTTTGTGGTTATTTCTCTTCATTTTCGTGTCGTTGTGCAGATGGGTTGGCGGAATAATAGGTTATCGAGTAGAAATTGTTTGTCCAAGCAATCCTGTTTAACGAAGCCCTGGGTCTTGTCTTAAGAAAATTCTACACTGATTCAAATGTGAGGTAATTAAACTTACTGAATCTCTTTTCTTTTTTCCTGCAATTTTTAATTTATATGGAAATTTTAATGCATAGAGGGATATTATTTGAAAAACTTGGAGTAATTGATTTGTAACATGGATGCTTACAGTGTTTTCACATTTTTTTTTCTAAATTTAATGTGATTTGAATTGGGATTATAGAATTCTGGTTTCAAAATTCAATCTGCGATGTCTTTTGATTCACAAATATGTGATTTCCGTCCACTCTTCTGAAATTAAAGTTCGTTCATTTTTGTGATTTTTTTTGGTGTAAAAGCTGGCACTATGTTAGTCCATACAATTAAAATTTGTATCAAAATTTTCTCTGCTAATTGTCCCAAAAAAGGTACAAAGGCAGAGTATTGTATTCTTAATAAAGCTTATTATACATACAAATTAATCTTATGATGAATGACTGAGTTTGTTTCCTATATTGTTAAAGCTATTTTGCAATTTTGTCTCATGGTTAGACACCAAAGAAAACTAGTTAAAACTCTGGAACATTTGTTAAACTATTAAGGTTTGTTGCAGGAAATTCTGAGCCTCAGGTTTCTCTAGAAAACAATACTTGCCTCTATTACCAATTTTCTGTATTGAAAACTCTTGCCTAAAGTCTTCCACCATCTTTCATTTGCATGTTGCAGCTTCTGCGTCATAAGTTTCTTTGCACATAGCATTTGTAAGTTGGTTATGGGCTAGCATTTGTATGTATTGCGAGCATCTTTACTTAGCTATTAGGGAAAGATACCAATCTGTTATCTGATCCTTCACTTTTAGTGTTTGATCAACAAGGAGATAATGTGTGATTATTTTTAGCTTTTGGTTTGGTTAGTCTCACTTTGTTTAGCTGCTCAAACTTTTCTTGTGCTCAAAGCTGTTGGCATAGAGCTAGATTCAGTGCAAGATTCACCAATGTAGTTGGAGGAGGCCATCTATGTTCTTGTGTTCTTAAGAAGAGAGGGTTAAATTAATAAGGAAACTTTCCCAATTCCTTTAACTTTTTTATTAACCTTAATTAAAAATAAGATGACCATCCAAATAAGTACAATACCAAACTAAGAAACATCCTTGGGTTGGCCAAACGGAAGACTAATTGTGTTCGAAAATTGAATTTCCATGATTTAGACACCGCCTCATTGTTCTCTAGTACTTTTATCTTACGTATATTAAATTATTACAATACAATTTTCTACAAAAACTTCAAAAAATAATAATCCAAATGAGATTTTTAACTTCTAATTTTGCAGTTTCACAGTTGACCGGAGCCCTATCTTTTATGTGAAGTAGTATGCAAATATTAATTTAGGTGAAAAATACACGTTGAAGTAGATAATTAGGTGATAGAATTTAGTGTCAAATTATTTGGGCATAATCAACTAGCTAAAATTCCCTGTACAAAAATATGGGAGCTCAATTGACTAAACCAATTTGTGAATTTAAATTAGATCAGATGAAATTCCAGATAAACTTTACTAGAAAGAGAATGACCAAAGAAAAGAGGAGGGGGGATGGGTTTTAGTAATTGATTACTGAAGTGACTTTGAGGCTGATGTGCTTGGGAAGATCTGTCCGGCCAAAGTCGGGTTCGAATTATGTAGCCAATCCAAGACCCAATTTAGGGGAACAAGCCATAAAGACAATTACTAAAAGATTTTCAGAACTTTTACTATATTTACATCCATCTTCAAGTGATTGTTGTTTTGAGTTTTCATATTATTAGTATTGTTTTTTGGAGTTGGAAATTTGAAAGGACCAACTAGGTAAGGCCTAGCAATAAACTCAAATGATCTTTTCTTTTCTCCCTTCCCTGTTTTTAGAAAAAAAGCTCTGTTTAGATTGAGGATTTTTTAAAAAACAAGTTTTTCAACTACAATACTACAGTAATACACAAATAAAAATAACCTCAAAAACATTAAAAACAACTTCAAAAATTCCAAAAATACAAAAAAAAAACCTCAAAAACATAAAAAAAAACAACTTCAAAAGCATCAAAAACATAAAAAACAATCTTAAAAAACACCAAAAATACAAAAAATAACCTCATCTACGGTAAAAGTTTTTCAACTATATTGTTACAATAAAATATTTCAAAAACAACTAATCCAAACAGAGTAATGTTTCTAAAAAAAAATTCTATGGTAGACTTAAGGTAGAAGAGCTGCCGCTCTAGCTAAAAATTTCCAAGAAATTCTATTGGGACTAAATGCAGCCAAAGAGCAACTTAAATTCTTAATACTTTGAGCTAAAAGACAATCTGGTTTTGGATTAATTACTAGCTAATTAACTAGGTAATACATTCTGTTATCATGACCAAAAAAAAAAAAAGCGGTTTTAGCTGAAAACTGAGGATTGAATTATGATAAAATTGACCCATTTTTGCCCCACTATGGTCCCTATGCTATAGGTATACTTGGGCGGCATATAAATAATTGGTTTGGCAAATGAATTTTTTGGATGTTTACATAAAATTTTACTACATAAGTTATAGGAAAAATATTTAACATGGAAAACTTTTTTCTTTTCTTTTTTTTTCTTTCTTTTTCTCTCTCTTTCTTTTTTCTTTTTCTTTCTTTCTATTTTTTTTTCTTTCCTCTCTTCTTCTTCTCCCTTCCCCCTCCCCCCGTTGCACGTTGCAGCAACAACAACAATTTTTTGTTTTTTGCATTTTTCTCTCTCTCCCTCTTCCCCGTCTCCCTCTCTCCCTATCCCTCCCACCGCCAGCAACAGCAGAAATTTTTATTTTTTTGCTTTTTCCTCTCACCCTTTCCCTCCCTTCCTCTCCTCCTCCCTTCCCCTCTTCCCTGCCACCTCTCTTCCCCCCTCTCCCTCCTCCGCCAATCTCCCCCTCCCCCCTACGCAAATCGCGAGACCAAATCTGGTCATGCAATCTGGCTGTGCGACTAGATATGGTTGTGCGGCCAGATTGCATAGGGGAAGGGGAGATTGCGCAACCAGATTTGGTCACGTGATCTGCGCAGGGGGGAAAGGGAGGGAGAGGGAAGGAGAGAGGTGACGGGAAAGAGGAGAAGAAGGGAGGGGAGGAGGAGAGAGAGAGGGTGAGGGAGAGGGAGAAGAGAAAAAAAAAACTTACCTCTGTCAGTGCCAAAAGAGATGGCCAGCATCGAAAGAGGTGGTCGGCGCCGAAAGTCGTAGTGGGTTGATGTGGGAAAGGAAAAAAAAGGAAAAGGAGGAAGGGAATTTTTTTTTTTTTTTGTATTTTGGATATTTTGAAGTGTGTAATTTTAAAATTTTTAAGAAGTTTTTTGAGATTTCTATAGCTGAAGTTATTAAAACATTGGTAGGAGACAAACTTAGCCAAAAACTCATTTGTCAAACAAGCCATTTAGTCCATGAATTGAACAATCAAAATTGTCCCAGTCCATGAAAAATGTGGAGCCATTCCCTAAGCAACAAGTAACTTTAAGGGTATTATTTTCAACTGCAAGTGGTGAACAATAGCGGAGCGAATATGATGTTTCGACTTGATAACACACTATTTGATGCACATTTTTGTTGCATGTATCATTAAATCCAAATTTGTGACTTTAGTTTAGCAATAATATCATTCTACTTATTTGAATTAAGAACATAAAACATTTAGAAAAAAATTTAAAATATTTCTTATTAGTCTTAACATGCGTTCTCCAACATTTTTTCATTTCTCATACTTCACATAAAATATTGCTATAGTCAAGAAAAGCTTTCAAATAACTTTCAATCCAAATTGATCAATCATTATATAACTTAAAACTAGATCCAAGAGTCCAACAAAAGATAGTCATTATGATATCTTAATAGTTTTAGGGGACAATGCAACATGACGAGATTCTACCATGCACCAAATTTTAATAAAATCTAAACATCTCATTTTCTGCAAGTATACAAATCATTTATCGAGTATAGGGAATACTAGGTGTCGATCTCACAAGAAAGATTGTCAATTGCCAATGATTTTCAAACTCCCTTATTATTTAGACTATCACAAGTGTAAGAAATTAAATCTACAATATAAACATGGGATAAAAGTAATAGAAATAACAATAGAAAGCTTCTAAGGCTATGGAATATCTTACTCTTCTTACAAGTGAAATTACTGGTTAATTAAATGTGATTATCTTGACTAATTATGGCATAATTTCCTAATGTATCTGAAACGTACTCTCATAGTGAAACAATTATACTTGTAACTAAGCCATACTTATTCTCGTGGCTATGAAACCAATTACAAGCTCATTTCTTTTATAAGATTATACGGAACAGGCCACCAAAGCCATAAAGGTGCACCGCTACTCTCGTGAGTGAGCTGTTTAGGTTTAACACTTCTTTGAACTAGTGTCAAATCCCAATTCTTATTACAAACTTAACATCTTAAAATTATCACAATTAATGGCAGTTAATTATGATTTGAAAGGCAAAAGTGCTAAATAACTTGCTCAAAATAATATCATCAAATAACCAAATATATATCATTAACAAGATATAGAAAGTTCATCCATAACTTTAGACATCAACTTTAGTAAAACATGAAGAAAATGAAAGAAAAGACCATACTTGTATTGTAGCTAAATATAACTCAAATACAAAATAGAAAGTGATAGCAAAGTAGTCACTCTTGTCACATGAATTCCAAGCCCTCCATCTTGTTCCTTAATTCTTCATCCAAATCTAGTTACAAGTACAAGATAAACTACACTAACTATAATACACTTATAAACTAAGAAAAACTAGTGAAAACTACATTTTTGGTAGTGTGCCTAGCATTCCAAAGTTATCAATATAAGCTCTCCAAGGGCCCCTATTTATAGAGAATTCAAGCTCAAAATGTGTTATTTCTAGTTGGTAATTTTGTCTCTTAAAATCACCAAAAGTTGCTTCTTGAAATTTCCATGCTTACTTGCTCATATCCAGCTAGAATTCTTGCAGACAAATTGGTCAAAAAACTTGTGTGAACAAAGTACAAGTTATAGAGCAAGTTGTAGCCGCAATTGAAGAAAACGTGACCTATGAAAACACAAGCATGAGGTCGCGTATGACTAGAGTTGCAAATGAACCGAGCCGCTCGCGAGCGGCTCAAGTCAAGCTCGACTCGAGCTTGAGCTGGCTCGAGTCAAAATCGAGCTCGAACTCAAGCTCAAAATATTAAGCTCGTTAGCGGCTCGCGAGCTCGATTATATATATATATATTTTATTTTTTTATTTTATGTATATATTTTTTTATTTTTTTATATTAAGTATATATACTTTTTATTTTAATAGTAAAATTACATATATATCCTTAATATTTTATTATTTATTAAGAAAAAATATTATTTTATTTTTTTTAAAAATAAAATATTTATTTTTTATTTTTTTCGATCTCGACTCAAATCAAGTCGAGCTCGAGCTCGAGCTTTAAATTGTCAGCTCATCAAGTTCGAGCTCGAGTTCGAGTTCAATAAAATTAAGTCAAGGCTTGGCTCAATAAGGCCAAAACTCGACTCGACTCGGCTCGTTTGCAGCCCTACGTATGACGCCACGTTTTACTTCTTTTGCAGGTTTTCTTAATTCTGGTTAGCCTTCAATTTTGCTCTATTTTTGCACCAATTTCCACTGATATTTTCTTGATGATGAAGGCTGAACTAGATCTTATGCAAAACATGAAAGTTTTAGGCCTTTGAGTTAGATTTTCAATGCTTTAAAAATCATCCAATTTGAAACTTTGTATACTAAGCAATGACCAAAATACCCTTAACTGGTCAATCCCTGTTTCAGCTTTTGATAACAAAAATGACAGACTGTATTTTGACATTTTGATTAGGAAAATGCATGAATTGGATTTCGATGTCTTATACGAAATATGGAGCTATGTGTTAGTTTCAAAATGGTTTAAAAATCACTTCAATTCAATACTTATAACTCAAAATATAGCCAAAATATCAAAAGATATCAGAGCTGTCAAACTTCTCTTCTTTTATACTTGATTGCACTTAATCTCTTGAGTATTTTGCACTTCATATTCTCTTTAAAACCTTTAAATTATCAACAATCATGCAATTATCTTCTCAAATCACTTACTTGATGATTGAATCATTAAACCTACAAAAACATGAAATTTTCATTACTTTAAACACAGAAATGTAATTTTTCACACCTAAACCATAAAATGCGTAATTCACTAGAAACCTAATTAATTAGCTACAAAAATGACTAAAACACACCAAAATTAAATAATAAAATACACTTAAAATACTCAAAATACACACTTATCACAACTATAAAAGGTAAGCTTACATATTTGGGGGAGGGGGAGGGCAAGTATAATATAATTTAAAATCTTCTCAATTTTCCTAATGCTATTGTGATTTTACCAAAGTTGAGGGGGTGCAATTACCCAACTTCAACTACATATGGCTTCGCTGGGTGTGAAAGCTTGGAGTAGTGGCACAAATATTATCCCCCTGGATTACCTATTTACCTTTATCTAAAATTGTATAACCTCATAAATTCATCCGATTGTGTCATTAGTTTTCTCTTGATCTCTAAATTAACATACTAAAAATGGTACTCTTTTTGTGATTACTTTGGCATTCAATTTTCATGAAACATTTGAATAATGAAAAATGAGTCAAAATTGTAACAAATTGTTAATTATTAATCAGAGGGTAAAACTTAGTCAATTTCACATGAAATTTTATGGACAACTAATACAACTAATAAAATATACTATAAATGGTGTTGATTTTTGAAAATAATTTTTAAATTAATTTTATTGAAGTATAATGAAGAGAAATTCTCTCCAACACTAAGGCCACATGTTAATTCCTTCAGGGCTATTTAGTTTTTTTTTTTTTGAGCCAACACTGTTTAGTTTAATTCCTAGTACAACATTACATGACATATTTGTGAAAGGCAAACACTTAGTTAGATTCGATTTATGTAGACCTAATAGTTCAAAATTTGCCACACCTACTCATTAATTCGAGTATCAAAGATGTGGCAAATTTGGGCATCAAATCTATAAGACCAGATTTACCCAAATTTTTGCTTTTGTCGAGTGGTTATGCACTTTGATTCCATTCTCACTTCCGTTATCCCTAGTCCTGGCTATCTATATTTGAATTTTGTGAGACTACCTAATTTGGGCAGAACAAGCATGGGGTCGGTTTGGAAAAAAAATTTTCAAATATTACTCTACTTGTATTATAAATATAATTTTCAATCACCTTTTGTTATCTCAAACATATCACATCACAAAAATTTTCAAATATTACTCTGCTTGCATTATAAATATAATTTTCAATCACCTTTTTGTTATCTCAAACATATCACATCACAAAAAGTATTAC